ACGGCGTAATTTTATTTTATAATTAATGACGGTTTTGTTATCTTTTTCCAAAATTTGTCCCGGGATCTCCACCAAATCCCAACTCCCACTTTTTTCGTAGTCGGAGAGGTCAATGTCGCTATACACCTCAATTGGAACTGTTTCGTTCCCCTTGGTTTCCAGGTACCAGTGTAATTTTACCTGGTTGAGTAGAAGCAGTAATAGTAATTGTAATAATAATAAATGATAATAACAATAATAACAATTGGAACGTTCTTTTATTTTTGGAATAAAACACTCATAAAAACAAAGAATTAATTATCAATAATAATTAAAATTTAATAGAATTAAGTAGAACTTATTATACAATATTATAAAATAAAATACTTTGCGATGCTCGTCATCCTATACAGAATGTGTACAATGAGAACAGATTAGTTTGAAATGATTTTTTCAGTTAATGATTCTATCACAATAAATGCCATATGATGACTATATTGCTAAATTAATAATGCAATTTAACTTAAATTGGTGATCACAACAATTTAAGTTGATAAAAGACAAATTAAAACTGTTGAAAAAATACAGCTCAAGTTATAAAAAAAAAGTTTAAATTTTGACCGGGACCAAAAAACTAACTAAATTTGTACCAGTGTGGCTCAAATTAGGCTAATGACCTTTTATCTGTCGATTATTTTGATTAAAAACAAAATTTTACCGAATTTTAATAAAAATATTGCTCACACCGGGGGCCGTAACGCGACCCTGCCTCCTTAGATCCGCCACTGCTTCAATGGTGAAAAAAACTACCAGCCTAATTCACTACATCAGCGTCACATTAAAAAAAATTCGAGCTAGTGTGTTTCAGTAATATATAATGATATTAATAACTATTCGGTCCGTTCAAGATAGTATACATCAAAAACGTCAAGATTTCGATTACCACATTGCATTGTATTTGATGACTTGTATAGTGCCCCTCAAGAATGACATCAGAAGCGCATTATACATTTTCATGCTCAGGTGATTGAATACTGCATGAATCTGGTAACAAACTACCAGCTCAATCCACCATATCAGCGCCATATTCTCAAAAATAGTTGATTCAGTTCATAAGGATAACTATTCGTGCCTAATACTAAAAATGAAAAATATTCCTGCCTAAAAACTGAGTTCACTGACTTTTGATAACAACACTGCTCGCAACGGGGAGAAGATCATGGCAGCCACTAGCATTGCAGCCGTAGTAGTCCTATTTCAACTAAGTGAGACAATACATATTTAGTTTCGCCCCGCTAAAGTCTGCAAATAAAGAAAAGTTCGTCAGCTACTTGACAATATTTCAAAAACTTCAACTTACTAACTTACTACATTCTATAGCTTTTTTATTCCAATAATAATAACAATCATCCTCTCTACAGGAATTATAACAGCAGCTTCAGAATTTAAAATCACCCCTTCCACCGCTAAATTCAGGATCTGCTGCTACTACTACTACTACTACTACTACTACTACTACTACTAACTACTACTACTACTACTACTACTACTACTACTACTACTACTACTACTACTACTACTACTACTAAAACTACAATTATAACAATAATAATAATAAAATTATGAACCTCATTAGAATCGTAAGTCCAGGAGGCAAAATTCATTTCACAAATTTGCTCATCAAATGGAAAGTAGGTTACGTCAATACTGCAGCTGCTTTTGTAAATTGTGCATGGAATCCACATGATCCAACCTGTGTGTGTGTGTGTGTGTGTGAGTGAGAGAGAGAGGTGTGTGCTGTGGTGTTTCAAGTGGTGTGTTTTGTGTTTTTGTGTTATTGTAAAATTTTCGCAAACGTTGTTGTTGTTGTTGATGTTGTTAGTATCTTTGTTGATATAATTGTGGGTGGTGGTGTTGTGTTAATAAACTCACCATTATGGTTGACCAAAACGTTGGCTTTGAAAGAGACTTCAAATCGCCCATCTGCACTATAAAATTGTTCCATATACAAAATTACTACTATCACCACTACTACTACTACTACTACACAACCAACAAACTAATCAATCAACCAATCAATTAACTAATCAATCACCAACTTATCAATCAACTGATCAACAAATCAACCAATCAGACCACCAACTTATTATACAAAACAACATCAGGAGTCCAAACGCGATCAGGCTGTATTCGAACGACCGAACTGTTGGCATACTCTGACTTGAGCCATTTCAATTGATAATCACACCAGTACTGAGTGAATGATCGAATAAATGAACGAACGGATAAAATAATTAATGAATGAATGAATTAATTATTAAATGAATGAATGAATTAATTAAACAATAGATGGATAGAACAGAACGATTGAAAGACTTTATAAAGAAATAAAGTGAATAAACAAAAATAGATTGATTGAATGGACGTACCAGTCGCAACCACACGTTCGTCTTCATAATCTGGTTCCTCTCATCCTATATTAGTTTAAAAAATAAATAATAATAATAAAATAATAATAATAATCTAAGAGGGGCAGAGGCTCAATTTTTGCACACCGTTCCATGCCAAAAAGCGACCAAAAATTGACGTGACGAGCGAAAAATATTTAAGAGTGATTTTGGCCATACTACAACAAATCTTGGACCCCCAGTCAAAATTTTAACATTTTCCCTCCGTCAAAGTTGTCTAGATCCACGCAACTGAATAATAGTAATAATAACAATAATAACAGTAATAATAATAATTATTAATTACTATAATTAATAATTTTAATTATTATTACATTTTCTTTACAGTAATATTAAATATTATTATTATTATTTATTTTGTTGTTTAATCAATAACCGTAGAATATTTAAGGACCTGAACATTAAACAATGTTCCTTCGTGTGTACTATTACTGCTGCTGCTACTACTACTACTACTGCCGCTGCTGCTGTTACTGCTAATACTATCACTATTGACAGTATACTACTAATAATAGTAGTAGTAGTACACACATGAAACAGCACCCATTATAAATATTATACAAAATAGAATTCCGATTTCAAAGATGAGATGTACGTAGCACACATTGTACGGCATTGTTAAGCACAAATAAAAATAAAATATACAAAAAATAATATAAATTGAAAATTTTTCATTGTAGGGGCTCTAAAAGCTCCCTCTGGCATACTCTTCTACACACCACACACACCATATACACACCAGATTGATAAGTTGTATGAGGGCTAGTTCGAAGCCAACGGGTATGATGCTGTTGATGTTCTCGACGGGGCGTATCCGCGGGTTGTAGCCACCATCACGGCGTTCAAACAAATCTTGTAGTAGCCGAAATTCGTCGTCGTTCGCGCTAACTGCATGTGTGTATGTGCGTGTGTGTATGTATGTGTGTGTGTGTGTGTGTGTGTGTGTGTGTGTGTGTGTGTGTGTGTGTGTGTGTGTGTATGTACAAACCATAGATTACATTATCATATATTCTATGTTATTCGTGCTGGTTGACAGTCAGCTAGTCTATGTATGTATATGTGTTTGTGTGTGCGTGTGTGTGTGAAATAATAGTATTAGTATTATTATAATTAAAAGTAATTAAAAGTAGTTGTAATGAAAGTAATGCCAAGACTGAAAATACTGTTAGTAACAGTTTGTGAAGATATTTTTATATATATATTTATATATATTATATATATGAAGATATTTAAGATATAACGGGAAGATATTTTTTCATCTATTAAATATTTTATAGGCAAAAGTTTAAAGCAATTTTTTAAACCAAAAATTATTTAAAAATTAAGTAATAGTAGTAGTAGTCAGGAGCTGATTTAGACAACTTTAAAGGAGCCAAAATAATAAAAATGTTTAAATTTTGAAATTTGAGGAGGGGGCACAGAACGAATCAAGTTTGTAATGGTGTGGCTAAAATTAGGCCAGTGACCATTTTATGGTTCATCACGTCAATATTTTGTCTAAAATTTTCGACTAAAAACTGAGTGAGGAGTGAGTTTTACTGAATTTTACTATAAATATAGCACGCATCGTGGGCGCTAGCATGACACGGCCCTTTCAGATCTGCCACGGCATGAATTTAATAACAAACTACCAGCTTAATTCACTATATCAGCGCCACATTTCAAAGAATTTGAACTATAGTGCGTTTTCAGTAATACATTATAGTAACTATTCGGTCGAATCAAAAATTTCTGGATTTCCATTAACAAATTACACATTTTCATGGTCAGATTATAGAATACTTCATGAATCTAGTAAAAACCCACCCGATTAGTTCACTACATCAACGCCACATTCCCAAAAATACTCGAATTATTGAGCGTTGTTCATAATTACTTCGTGTATGCAACTAAAAATGATAAATATTCCTGTATAAAAACTGAGTTCTACTGACTTTTTATAACAACCCTGCTCACAACGGGGGGCATAATTTTCCGGCCAAGCAGTGCAACTATTACTACTACGACTAGTAAAACTACTACTACAACTACTAAGGCTACTAGTAAAATATTTGGAATTCACTATAATACCAATGAAACACATCCGATTAATAAAATCATGATCACGATAACAACAACAACAAAAACAACAACAATAACAACAACAAGGATAATAATAATAATAATAATAATAAATATTAATACTAACAATAAAAACAACAATGATAATATCAATAACAACAGTAATAATAATAACAAAGTTATTGAACCTTCTTTAAAAAGACCAAATGTCCAGCTTAACATTAGTAGCCAGATGATGAAAAGATTGTCTGGCAGCCAAAAACGTGGCGACATCGCTGTGGTAGTAGCAGTAGCAGCAGCTTTAGTAGTAGTAGTAGTAGTAGTAGTAGTAGTAGTAGTAGAAAATTCAGCAATAGAAAAAAATAAATATATATGTATATATATATATATATTACTATTTATTCATTATATTTGTTTATTTATTTATTTATGATTCGGTACAAATAAAATTAAATTATTTTCGTTATTATCATTATTATTGTTTTTATCATTATTAATTATTATTACAACAAAAGCAATTTACATTTGCCAAATAAATTTTTTTACAAAATAAGGTTAAGAGCCGAAAATAGACTTTGTATATTTGTATGTATGTATACATGGCAATTATATGTAAGATTCTTTGTTGTGTTGATACACTATTAAAGAGGAAAAATTCGGCGCTGCTGCTTGCTTCGCTTACTTTTTATGTTATTGTTGTTGCTGCTGTTGTTTGTTGTTGTTGATGTTGTTTTTTGTTGTTGTTGTTAATCCTGTTGTTATTGTTTTATTTGTTGGTGTGATTGATGTTGTTGTTTTGTTGATGTTGTAGGTAATGGGATCGATGACCCGGTTGCTATTGTTATCACAATTAACTAGCTGAGGTTGTTTTTCTATCACGATAATAATAAAGTCACATAAAACTGTGTATATATATAAAATATTTGATGTCTTATTCAGCTAAATACGTTAGGAGTTTTTATCATTTGGATAGTTTGGAAAAGAAAAAAATTTAAATGCATACAGACCATGTTCAAATGCAAGCTCAGCTAGAATTTTAGCAAAAGTAATTGTGGAAATAATTGTGTGAAATGGATGGTTGCTGTAACGCGTGTTTACGTAAACTATGTGTGTGTTTGTATGTGTGTGTGTGTGTTGTGTGTGTCTGTGCATGTGTGTGTGAGTGTGTGGTAACAAGTAAAGTATTAAGTTCAGTCTTAATCCGTTTGGGTTAATCATCATGAATCCTGATTCAGAGTTCATGTTGAAATTGATTGACATTGGTTGATGGTTGATGTATAGTTGTCGGAATGGCTACATTTGATTTGTTGATTCGACCTCGGGTATCAGTTTGGGAGTGTTTAAGAAAAGGTTTATTGAATTGTTGCTGGCTAACAATTTCGTGTAGTTTTTAGTTCATTGACAGTGACCATGGATATATATAAATTTTAATTGTATTTCATTTATTAATTAATTTAATTTAAAATGTATAAATTTTAAGTTTTATTCGGTTTCTTGTATTTATTTGACTTCATTATTTTGGTATCTTTTAAAATTGTTTTTTATTTTGTACTTTCGTTTGACCATACAAGCAATGTTGTTAAAATACTCACATGTTGAGTATTTAAATACTTTGCAAATACTTGGTCAAAATTCAGTATTTAAATAGTATTTAAATACCAAATACTGCTACAAGTATTTAAATACAGGCTACAAGTGTTTAAAAATTATTTTAACTACCCTGCAGTTTTCATTTGATACTAAAATTTGCACGTTAATAAAAAAGGATCACGAATTAACAAATTTTTTATTTTTATTATTTTATATACACCCACATCACATTTTAGTAAATCTCATAAATATTTCCATTAGAAATGAAAAAAGACATTAATACATAAAATTCACTAATAATGTTGGTTAACTTTAAGGAGCAGTAATGTCTCAAACAGATCATCAGATAAACGATTACGCTGTTCAGTTAGAGTAAGAGCACCTGAACTAAATAGACGTTCAACTGGGGCACTTGAGGGCAATGCTGTGTTATATCAAATGAAAAGTTGTTTAATTTTTAAATGTTTGTCTAACATTTTAAAATCTTTATCTTCATCATTAAGATATTGAAAATGTTGTTGCGATCGTTCTGTGGATAATTCATCATCAAAGTCAAAGAAAGTTTCTGTTTTACTGTCATTGATCCTGCTTTTATAAACTGGTTCTGATGTACTTGATGTAATAGTAGACACAGACTGTTCTAAAAGTTGCAGGCATTTCGCCCTAAGCTCAAACAGATTAGAGCAGTTTGCACAGACTGTTATATAGTATACACATACACATCACATATGTAGAATAAAAAGAGAATATACAACGTGGAATAGATGATTGATAATGCAATTTTTTGTCAAAGTATTTAAATTTTTTAAATACTAAATACCATGCAAAAGTATTTAAATACTGTCTAAATACTGCCATTTTATTAAATCTTTTAAATACCTCTTAAATACTGGGGTGAGTATTTAAATACTATTTAAGTATTTAAATACTATTTAAATATTTAAATACTATTTAAGTATTTAAATACTCTAAATACTTAACAACACTGCATACAAGCCCATTTGATCATACAAGCCCACATTTATAAAGTAATATATATATAAAGAATGAGACTCTAAAGCGCACTGAAAATGTGCGCGGGTACGTTTGAAGGCTTTTATAGGTGTTTTTCAAAGTGTGAAATTTAGCAAAATATTTTGTAATTTTTTCCATTTTAATTTTTTTGTTGATTCTACGGGTTTGTGTGATTTTGTATGTTTTTAATGTTAAGTGTTAATATTTACCTTAACATTTTTATTATCTTTCACTAACTTAATCCAGTTCACTTTAAACAATATGGCGAACGAGGCTTTCGGCACGTTGAGTTCGAGTCCAGAGCTGTTGGTAGGTCTGACGTGCCGAGTTCATCCGGTTGTCTTCCTCAGCATTGTTGATTCGTACGAAAGAAGAAATGAGGACGCTAAGCGAGTGATTGGAACTTTACTGGGTTGGTTATGTTATTACAGTCTGGTTGGCAAAAAAACTTGCTGGTCTTGACTTGACTTGACATGACAAGTCAAAAATTATAATAATTCAATAATTCTTGTTCTCGCCTGCTTGGCTTGTGTTTTTTAAAATTTTATTTTGTGTGCTTTTTGAAAAATAAAATAAAAAATTTTAATTTTATTGGAGCTTGCCTTATTTTATAATATTTTTATTTAAATTTTACAATAAATATTAAATATTCTTATCATTTTCGTATTAAATTATTTTTATTATACAATACGCCAGTTTCTTAAAGTTTGAAAACGATAATTAATTTAATTTAATTTTATTAAATAATTTAATCAATAAAATAATAATATTAATCAAATTTTATTTGATCTACTATAATCAATATTTAATTAGACCACACATGTTCATGGATATACTTTTGATACGATATCGATACCAGCTGTTAAAAGATTATTAATAAATATAAGATGTTTTTATATTACTTTCAGTCACTGATTGAGAAATAGGCAAATGGTTGTTAGATAGAATGTTGTAAGAACAAGTTTGTGGTTATATAGTTCAATTTCTAAAGTTTTGGAAATGTGTTAGCGTTAGGATATTTGACCAGAGTAAAGTTAGTGAGTGCTCATTTAAATAAATAATTAACTATAAAAAAGGCATTGAGGCAATAAGATCAAATTAATTAAGTTTAGGTGAATGCATTAAAAAAGGGGTTACCAAATATAAAGTTATTAGATTTTTTGCATTTGGAATTCAAACTTTTGTGAAACAATGCACAATAATAACATAACATAACAAAAAAAATTTAATAAGTGCAGTTGTAAAACCTACAAGACCAAATCCCCAAAATAATAGGCATATAAATTATATTTTAATACTTACACTTATTTTTTAGTTCATGTCTTCATGGTTTTTTATATTTAAATTTAAATTGTAGGAACTGTTGAGAAGAACACGGTTGAAGTCACCAACTGTTTCACCGTGCCACACAATGAATCTGAAGAAGAGGTGATGTTCCATTTTTGATGGATGTGCTATAATAAATTATTGATCTTATTATAAGATTTGTTATCAAATTGATTGCTCTTGTTGTTTTTTATCACTTTGTTTACATAGTTTCGCATTTTGTTTTGTCTACAACTTTATTTCATTTTATCTTGATTTGATTTGATTCACAATTAAAATGACTATTGTTAAATAATGTTCATTTCTATAAATAACCTTACTACCGGCTGCGATAACAAGTGGTGATGATTCATTAAATTAATTTATTGGTGGTAGGTGGCAGTTGATATAGAGTTTGCCCGCAACATGACTGATCTGCACAGGAAGGTCAACCTACAAGAAGTCATTGTTGGATGGTAACATCTATTTATCAGTCATATTTTATCCTCAATCCTCATCTTTCTATTTTATAAATTAAATGAATTGGTATTTTGACTGAAGGTATTCCACTGGCTACGATGTGTCCGAACACTCGGTACTCATACATGACTACTACTCCAGAGAATGCAAGAACCCAGTGCACATCACTGTTGACACATCTCTCAAACAGGCACACATGTCCATGAAGGCCTACATTAGGTGGGAGAATTGAGTTCTTTGAGATTGCTGCATGCACCTGTGTTACATATTCATGTGGGGCATTGTGTATGTATTTAATTGCTTATTTTACGATGGAATATGACATTAATGTTTGTTACTTACATGTTTGCAGTGTGCCAGTCGGAGTGCCTGAGAAGACAATCGGCACCATGTTCACACCAATTCCATTGCAACTTGCTTATCAAGATTCTGAAAGAGTTGGAGGTTTGTATTGTTTTTATCACTCAAGTGACTTCTTCATCCTCTGAGGATTTATTTTAAATTGTTCAAACTTTCACAGCTTATGATTTAATATAAGGTGATTTTAATAAATCTATTAATTTTAACTAATTTTTCTAGTTGAATATCTGCTGAAGCACAAGGATCGAGTAAAGAGAACATCAAACCTACCAAAAGACTTGAAGCAAGTGTCTGTTGACTGCACTCAAATGTTGGCTAAGCTAGATTCCGTCATTGAATATATTGATAATGTTTTGGTAAGTGTCCCATATTGTGAGTATTTATGTCATCACATTTTGTTTCCACATTAATTATGTTGCCTATTTTTATAATGTGTTTTCATCAATGTTTTTCAAGATTAATTACATTACTCCTCAGAGCAATTGGTCTGATTGACATTGTGTTATTTTAATAAATAGTCAGGGAAAGTACCATCTGATTCGACTATTGGTCGATCGCTAATGGAACTTGTCAACAACGTCACCAAAATAAAACCTGAAGATTTTCAAGATATTGTCAGTTCAAATATGAAGGTAATATGACCTGTGGTGGATTAATGTTGGGTTAAAATAGTTTTAACAATGTCATCCTACAATCTTTGAAGATTTCTTCAATAGTTTGCAGCTTTTTTCTCAACTGGTGTTTCAGTATAACTGAAATATTTTCATTATCTTTTTTTAAATCTAATATGTTCTTGTTCTAGTGAACAAAGTTTATTTTTGAAATGCTCATTGTGATGCCATCATATAATGTCAAGCCAAGTTTATGTATGCATCTAATTATTTTCATTGCAAAGTTCCTAAAAATGACTTTCATTCAGGACCTGCTGATGATGCTGTACCTCAGTAACCTGACCAAAACGCAACTCATCATAGGAGAGAAGATAAACCAGTTTTAATTTAATTTATTGACTCGTTGAAATGTTTTGTTGGGATGATTGTTAAGAGGCCATCAGTAAATGAATGTACATTTAATAAATTAATTCTTCTGCTTAATGTTTCAAAATACATCACCTCGTTGCTATGGCGGTGCTAGTTATGAACAGAGAAAATTATGACAGAAAATTTGTTTTTGTTTTAAACAAATAAACTCTTAATCGCGCCTATTCTATACAAACTGACCTAGTCGTGAACATTTTTGTCCATCGCTGTTTGTTACAGTAGCGGTTTTATTTTGAGTAGGGCAGTTAGTTTTTAGCAAAATAATAAAATGTTCATAAATTCGAAGCTTCTAGTCGCATTAATGTCATTTTCATCGCATCCGGTATTATTTTGTTTGGTTAGGTGATCTAAAAAAAATTTGGCAGAACTAAAAGTGGTACCGTTATTGCAGCCAATTTCGATATAAAACTTTAGCGGTTTGTGTGTTGTCGATGTGGCCATCTTATTTTCATAAAAATTGATGAGATGCCATGGATATATCATGGTGTGAACGCACAATTTAAAAATAAGATCATATTTGAATAAAATTTGTTTTAGAGATATTAGTCATATGGACCTAAATTTAATGCTGTCTTTACAATATTTATTTTAAAAAGTATTACAAATGAAAAAAATCTCGATTCATAGGAGGATAAAGCGGAAACATTTGAAAATTTTCAATGCTATTTTGTTTACCGGAAGTGAACATTTTGTTCAATGTTGCGGATCTCGTTATCTTGACATTATTATTTGGGTGAGGAAAAAAACGACGGGTTGTACGCAAATAATTTTTAACGCGCTTTAAACATGAAGAAGACCGCACGGCCGAACAGGTTGTTGCGGGAGTACAAGTGTATCTCCCTCCATCGTTCAAATTTATCTGAACTGACCACCGACGGAAATACTCATTGATCTTCTTCGTACTATCCAAATCTGTTTTGTTTTTAATTCGTCCTTCCGCAGTTTTGCATATTGACTTCCATTTCACTTAATCTTTTTCAACTATCACTCATTTTTACTTTTTTTTTAAACTACAGATATGACGTCATCATGGCAAGATGGCGAATTTAAAAAAAAATGGGTTTATCCAACTGAATGATCAGAACGAATGACAATTTTTGATTTTTAAGAGTTTAAATTAATTAAAAAGCATTATTTTGAGTAGAGTAAGAAATTTTAATAACAATTTTCAACTTAAACATTTTAAAATCACTGACATTCAAATTTTGCCGCCCTAGGCCAGTGCCTGTGCGTAAATCCGCCACTGGGTGTTTGCGAATTATGAATTAATTTCTTTAACATAAGCTGAAGATATGTTGAATGGACGTAATGGTTAGAAGCGTCTGGGAATGAGTTGCAGAGACTGAGTTTGAATGCAAGGGATTTTCGTTCGTCTCATGCAATGAGACGAACGAAACACGTGTATTCACATAAGCTGTCGGCAATAAAGACGAATGTCTATCGCCAACTCCACGACCTTAACTTCATTGAAAACAAGCAACTCAGACGTTTCTTTGCACTATAATTACCGATGAATAATTTTTCAAAGTTTTCATAACTACTCACCGAACTACAACGAACAGAACATAAACGAATGTGATTATTTAGTCCGTTACAGTTTACACATCAATGAACGAATATAAATGAAACGTAGTAAACGGTAAGATTAAAAAAATAAAATTTGTCATTTTAAAACATAACAAGCTCGAAGCATCCACAAAGTTTTCACTAACGAAAATGATAGCAAACATAATTCACAATGAGACAGCAAACAACAAATCAATTAAAATTCAACGTTAAAACCGTTTGAAGTTTACATACAAATTTAGAAATGTTAAACATTTTCCAATACATAATCGTAATGTTTTCAAACATGGATTTCGAAACTATAGTTAAACATAAAACACGATGCATGTAATATAATGTATTTAATCTGGACAGGCGGGCACACACATACAGCGTATCTGGTGGTGTTAGTAATTCAGTCTTAAAGCGGTTTAGTGTTGCACACACACTGACACACATGCAATGAAAAAAAACTTAAAAAACACGTACATAAAAGATACATATGCACTAAGGATTTATAGAAAGGTACAATTTAATATGGTAACAAGTTCATTATATTGATCATTAAATAATTTAAAAATAAATACATTGATCGGTCAGAATTAAACGGACGAACCAAATTACACTGAGTAACATGTGGAAGGCTATTGTGAATGAGTAATATACGACTAAACTGGATGATAAGTAGATGAATGCAGACAGGCACGTATGAACGCTGGCTGAATGGCTACCATCTATGTATTTCAATGGAATCGTAAGTGAAATATGTTGAAGCACATTAGAGCAGATAAATAAGACAACTTATCTGGACAACATTCAATAAATTGGTCAAAAATATTTTGATATTTAAATGTTAAATATAACGAATGACCAGTTGAACAGTTGAACGCACGTTGAAATAATTTGTATAATAAGGAATAATTCGATCAATCAGTATATAGCCTTTAACATTAACCATGAGAAATTAAATGAACGAAAGATGATGTAGGCACGTTGGTCCTGGTTGGATCGCGTTCACGTTGTTCCATTCCATAGATATTGACGTGGAGGCGACGGTGTTATAAGAAATTTAAAACGTTTAATTGCATTCTGAAGTATAAAAACTAAAAAAATATATTAAATGAAAAACTGATTGTTATCGCTTGAGATAAAATGTCAGTTTCACTGTCAGTTGAATATTTTCTTTTTCTTCAAAGTTCTGTGAACAAAAGCATTATATCAAGTTAACGATAATAATCTCGCAATAAAATTCTTCCTCAGTGAAATTGGATGGGACATAAAATCCCACAATCGACACACACTTGCGTTGTTCATACTTTCCATGAAACACATCAACTAAATGATCACGGCAAAAATTCACTCACACAACGAAAAACTCGCAGCTCGGTCTTACGAGTTTGTTGTGATAACCTCAACGAAAACAACATAATTATGAACAACCAAATAACTAAAAATGTCAAGAACAGCAAAGAACAATAAACAAAAATAAAAAAAATAATGAACATTATGAAGAGAACAACAACATTAATAACAACAACATCACATCAAAAACATTAGCAAACAGCAATGTGACACAACATGAACACGAAGACTGACCCGGTTGCTTCAGCTTCCATCATCATCTGCCTGTATTGTTCCTCCCAAGCATCTCTCTCCCTCACGAAAGCCTCCCTCATCTCCTCCAGTTCCATCTCTTCCTGCTTCAAACTCTTCAACATCTGATCTCGACGCTTGCCCACCTGAATTATGAATGTCGCGAATGAATGCATAATGAAAGGTGAATTTGATGGCTGATGGATCGAATGAACGAAAAAAACGTAATGATTGCCTGAACAAATTATTGGATGAATATTGCGAATTTTGAAACTTCTGTCAAGGTTTATTTAAAAGAAGCAGATACTATTAAGAAACGTAAACAGATACCGAAAAGTAATTTAACATTTTTAAATCTGTTTAGAAAAGAAGATAATGAATTGGAAATGTGAGAAGTTTTGCCGGGATCGTCATAAATTGAAATTGGTGAACACGGTGGAAAATTGAGAAAAAAAAAAAAATTGTACGACGATTCGAAATAACATTCCATTTAAATAAACTAACAACCATTTCTGTTTCAGTCCACTTCTTTAACTCTACACCATTACACTACGTCGCTAACAACATCAAGTCACCTAACTCTAACATCAACACTACTCTACTGTTACATCAAAAAATCTTTACATGACATCAACACATACAAACATGACATCATACTACATCACATGACATGACATCATACTACATCACTTTACGTCACACCATACTACATCACATTACAGCACATCACAAAATTTACTCACATCAGCGTCGGATTCTTTAATTTTGTTTTGCTTCTCTTTAACTTTTGCCTCAAACACCTTTGGATGAAAAAAAAATAACAAAACAATAAATCTTAAATAGAATCATTCGTTGTGGCATTTTAGAGAACCTTTTTGGACGGGGAAATATGATAATTAAATATGTAAAAATAAACAATGATAACATAAAAATTTTTATGTTTTTAAATATGTAAAGATAAACAATGATAACAAAAATATTTTTCATGTTTAAAAACGCGCCAGCCAATGAAATATCAAATTTGCAATAAACGATAAATATACTGTTTTTACAATTTGAATAGCTAGTTATTAATAACTATATTTATCAATTATTGATATTTAATAATTATATAATAATAACAATTATTATCATGATTATAACAAGAAAATATTTTTTTAATGCATAATCTCTGGTTATGATTACTAATGATGTCAATGATCATCACAATCACCATTCATCAACTCAATCATTAACTCATTTTTCACCAAAATCATCACATAATCATCATCGTCACACCACTATAAGCACAATCTCTACCATCTCCATTTCCATCTCCATCTTCTTCAACTTCTCAGCATGTTCCATCTTTTCCTCTTCAATCTGAAGCATCGGACTCCTGAGTAGTTTTATTCGTTGGGTTATCAGTTAGTTGATCGATTGAGTGATTAGTTGGTTGGTTGATTGATTGAGTGATTAGATGGTTGGTTGATTGATTGAGTGATTAGTTGGTTGATAAGTTAGTTGGTTGGTTGATTGGTTGATTGATAAGTTGGTTGATAAGTTAGTCGGTTGGTTGATTGATTGATAAGTTGGTTGATAAGTTAGTTGGTTGATTGATTGATAAGTTGGTTGATAAGTTAGTTGGTTGGTTGATTGGTTGATTGATAAATTGGTTGATAAGTTAGTTGGTTGGTTGATTGATTGATAAGTTAGTTGGTTGGTTGATTGATAAGTTGGTTGATAAGTTTGTCGGTTGGTTGATTGATTGGTTGATTGATTGATAAGTTAGTTGGTTGGTTGATTGATTGATAAGTTGGTTGATAAGTAAGTCGGTTGGTTGATTGATTGATTGATAAGTTGGTTGATAAGTTAGTTGGTTGGTTGATTGACTGATAAGTTGGTTGATAAGTTAGTTGGTTGATTGATTGATAAGTTGGTTGATAAGTTAGTCGGTTGGTTGATTGGTTGATTGATTGATAAGTTGGTTGATAAGTTAGTTGATTGGTTGATTGATTGATTGATAGGTTGGTTGATAAGTTAGTTGGTTGGTTGATTCATTGATTGATAAGTTGGTTGATAAGTTAGTTGGATGGATGATTGGTTGATTGATTGATAAGTTGGTTGATAAGTTAGGTGGTTGGTTGCTTGGTTGATTGATTGATAAGTTGGTTGATAAGTTAGTTGGATGGATGATTGGTTGATTGATTGATAAGTTGGTTGATAAGTTAGGTGGTTGGTTGCTTGGTTGATTGATTGATAAGTTGGTTGATAAGTTAGTTGCTAGGTTGATTAGTCGGATGTTCGAACAGCCGATTGGTTGTTCCAAATGACAGCCAACGTGCTTCAGCATGTTTCGACTCAGCATGGTATAAATTTAATAACATTGAAGAAAACTAATGAGAACTTTCAAGTCTTATAAGGATTACAAGAATTTTAAAATATTATTGGCAAAAATCTGCAAAAATATACAAGCGCTCAAATTCAAATTAAATAATTTTTAATTTCTATATTGATGATTGGATGAATTCACTGGAGGATTGATTTTCCCAGCACGAAACATTCACACTTCCTTACCCCACAATTGAAACTTGCGAGATACATCGAAGGGGAATGTTCCCTTCAGATTCAAAATGTAGTCACAGCACGCATGAAAAAACAAAAACTGATACTGGAACGTTGTTAATCATTTCTTAAGCCTTGCTTTTGCTGCTGATGTGTCAGTGTTACCAGTTTCAACGTCAACAGTTGAACGAAACTTTTTAACATTGATAAGAATTTGAGGAGAAGTTTCAAATTGTAGTGTGTTTTCATGCTTTGGCTTTTACTTTCCATTCCAAGTGATGTATCAATTACGGAGTTTTAAATCAATCGAGCAACTAACCACGTCGTTAAAATTTTTGTTTATCTTGCAGTTTGTCTAACTTTAAAAAATTTGTCACATTTCTATTGGATTGCGTTAGTAACAATTTCATCACACAGCCCCCTAAAACAACAAAAAACAAAACAGAATCCTCGTCTTGAACGTCATGCAGGCCCGACCTCTCAAAATATCAAAAAGTAGCAACCAACAGTGGCAGTGCATTTCATTGCACCGCAGTGAAAACTGGTGGATGGCTCTTTCAAGTCAGATGAGCAGGTTTTTATGCGTCGTTATGTTGCTAGACTGAACGTTCAAGGAAAATAAAGTACAATGAACAAACAAACAAACGAAACAACAAACAAATAAGTGAACATTGAACAAACTTGTTGAGCATCGGTTTACTTTTGCCGTCTGAAGAAACGGAAGCAAGAAGATGTTCATACCTGACGTCATGACGTGTTTGATAGTGGTGATTATGACGATGAAGGGTGGTGAACATGATGATGACGTTTAATGATGCACAAGTACTTAATTACATTGCTAAATAGCACAGCCATAATATCCCGATACATATGAAGCATTTCATTCCTTTACAACTTCATATACACGCTAACAAACAAGCATTACGTACGTGGACAAATCATTGCATACAAAATGAAGAAGGCTGTTGTTGGAGGCAACGCAACTTTACATTACCCTACATAGATATTGTATTGCGACTACTGCAAGCAAAGTATGAACATACAAACCATCTTGCCCAACAACTTCGGTGGTAGCAACATCAAAAGAATTGGAAACAACCACATCAGCAACATCAAGAACGACAACAAAAACCTCATTCACAACAACAACAGCAGCAGCAACATCAACAGCAGCATCAACAAACAAACAATAACAACGCACCTGAAGTTCTCGTAGTGTACATTGTTGGTGACGTCCTTCAAATCATGCAAGTGAGTTCTGCATGATCAACAAATTAAGAATTTTAATCGTACAATCGAGCAGCAAATCAGTTAATCAATCATAAGCTAAGTAATAAATAATATAATAACCAGTCAAACAAACAACAAAAATATCAACCGACCAAAAAACAAACAAACCAACCAACCAACCAATCAATCAATCAATCAATCAATCAATCAATCAATCAATCAATCAATCAATCAATCAATCAATCAATCAATCAATCAATCAATCAATCAATCAATCAATCAATCAATCAATCAACTAACCAATCAACCAACCAACAGACAGCCAATCAATCAACCAACCAACCAATCAGCCAACCGACCTAATAAGCATGTTCCTCAACGCAGTGAAGTCATTGTGTTCAAGATTCTCAACTGATGAAATTGTGAAAAACAATAAATAACAAGAACAAATGATCTTGTTTCGAGTTACGGTTACAACAAATAGGCGGCATATCATTAAAGGATTCAGTTTACAATCAACTCATCATCATCGTGATCACCACTCCCATCATCATCATCATCACCACCACCACCCACCTTCAACGACCCCCCAGGGATACGTCCTGGCCCTAATCTTCCTGCCATTACACTCGACCACCATGTTGCTCCCCACCACGGCGAATGGGATTCTTTCCTTTATTCGTTCGTTCATTCATTCATTCGTTTTTTAAAAACTTTCGTTCAAATGATCTTTTTAGATAAACTAATAATAATAATAACAATAACAACAACAATAATATTAATAACAACAACAACAACAATAATAATCACCACCATCATCATTCAATGCCTATTGAATTAATTTTTACCTCAACATAACGATAAAAATAATTTATTTGTTAAATTCATCTTCTAATAAACATTCATTCAAATGCAGATGCTGGCGACTTTCCACAGGCTGCGAACTTGAGTGGAAACATATTAACTAAATCAAATCAATATCTTCAATATTTTCAATTTCAAAACCATTTGCGCGTTTTATAAAAAATATTTTAAATAATATTTTAAATCTGAGTTGAGAATATTGCTAGCAATAAATATGTCGCCCATTATCGTTAAGCACTTATTGATTTAAAAAGTTTGTTTATTGTTTATTTTATTAATTCCCTTGCCACCATCCGTTCATCTGTTCGCTCTTCATTCATTTCCTGGTTCATATGTTCATTCATTCATTTGTTCATTCATCCATTCACTCATTCATTTGCTCACTTATTCATCCAGTTATTAATTCATTCGTCTATTCATTCAATCACTTATTCTATCCGTCCATCCATCCATCCTCCGTCTATCCATCCATCCATCCTCCGTCTATCCATCCATTCATACATCCATTCAATACAACCTTCATCTTCTTCATTATCCTCCTCTCCTCTTCATCATCACAATCAGGAAATTCGTAGATTTTGATTTTGTTTTGCATAATTTCGTTCATAATCTGAAAGTTTTCAGTTGAAAATAGGAGCAAGCGATTGGATGAAATGATAAAATAGAAATCGGAACAGTCGGGAGCCGCCGAAACATTCCTCCTCCCACCACCACCACCACACCTCTTCCTCCTTCTTCTCCATCTCATCCACACAATCACTTCAGCAACATAATCACAATCACCAACATCACGAAGATCACCAACATCATTAGCACGACAACATTTGCATCTTTCCATCACCACACTACGCAGCAAAACAACGCGCGACACGACGCGATGCGCCACCCATCACAATGAAACGCGCTACCACAGATCGTCACCACACTCACAGTCTTCTTGAAAGTCTTGCACTCCTCGGCAGTCATGGAGTCGGCCTTTGCAATCAGGGGGATGATGTTCACCTTCTCGTGCAGTTGCTTCATGAACTCGATGTCCAACTGCCTCAAGCTGTTTCGTTGCGAATTCTTTATTATTATCATGAATACGTCACGACATCAACACAACAACCAACCAACCAACCAACCAACCAACCAACCAACCAATCAACCAATCAATCAATCAATCAATCAATCAATCAATCAATCAATCAATCAATCAATCAATCAATCAATCAACCAACCAATCAACCAACCAGTCAGCCAACAACCCACCCATGTCCGTTGGGAGATATGAAGTAGAGGCAGCAGTGCACTCTTGTATCTTCGGATACCTGCCTTATAACTCTCGACTCAGCGTTCAGGAAGGCATTGTACTGGCTGTCTATGTACTCTACCACCGGCTGCCAACTGTTTTTTTGAAAATATCGTCATTATTATTTTATTATTATTATCAGTAGTAGTAGTAGTAGTATTTTTATTATTATTAATTAAAAGGTTAAAGATCATTCCCTCTTACTATAATTTACTCAGAGGTATGAAAGACATACACCACACACAGACACAGACACACCCACATACACAGAGTCACACACAACACATTAATAGACACACACAGCGTATTTTAACATGTGCGTGAAACGATATATCCCATGATATATTACATGAGATGGACGAGTATCGGCTTGCAATCGAACCAGGCCACAGCATCAAAGCAGGAGTAGGTGCCTTTACCAAAACATCACCACGTCAATGTGCTACGACATACAGGTATCTTTATTCGAAATCTAATCAAGAAAATCCGGTGCGTCATCATCATCATTATAAACATTATCATCAAGGCTGTCATCATCATCATCATTATAATCATTATCATCAAAGCTGTCATCATCATCATCATCATCCTCCTCATCATCATCTCTATCACTTTTACACCAACATCTTTATCAGTGTCGCCTCCATCATCGTCACCACAATCCTTATTAATTTCATCATTTCATTAAATTGTTCATCAGCATAATCATAATCATTTTCATCATCATCATTATCATCACTTTCATCATAATCATCATCACTTTCATCATCATCATCACTTTCATCATCATCATCACTTTCACCAGCGTCATCATGCATAACAAATCATCACCACCAACATAGCAACAACCACATCAACATCAGGAGCAAAATGGTTTCAATCTAGGTTAATAAACCACCACAAATTAATTACACATACAAACAAATTCATTCAATCATTCATTCATTTATTCATTCATTCAATCATTTATTCATTTATTTATTCAATCATTATTCAATCATTATTCGATCATTTATTCAATCAATCAATCAATCAATCAATCAATCAATCAATCAATCAATCAATCAATCAATCAATCAATCAATCAATCAATCAATCAATCAATCAATCAATCAATCAATCAATCAATCATTCAATCGTTTACTCAATCGTTAATTCATTTATTCATTCATTCAATTGAACTTCAAATCAATCAATCATTTGGATTTTATTCCATCAACCCAACATCATTCATTTATTCAGCCCAACATCATTCATTCAATTTAACATCATTCATTCAATTCAATTTAATTTCATTCATTCCATTGAAGGTCATTCATTCATTCATTATTAAAACTGGAACGAATTAGAAATTGAGGTTTCCGATGTTAATAACATGAAGGAATTTTGTTTACAGCAGAACAAACAAACAAACAAACAAACAAACAGACAGACAGACAGACAAACAGACAGACAGACAAACAAACAGACAAATAAATTCTCATTAACTTTTTGTAACAAACAAGATCTTTGATGTTTTTGTGTGTATTTTTATTTACGAGCCCATTACCGTACCATATCATTATCAGCATCACCGTCACCACCATCCCCAACGTCGTCATCATCACTATCACCATCAACGTCATCATTATCATTCCTGTTGTCATCACCAATAACATTAACATTAATTATAATAATAAATGTGAGTCATAACAATCGATAGCCTACTATGAAAATTTGCATATTACGTCACCACTTCATCACGATATTGATCACGTTAATCATTCGACGCTAACAGGAAGATGTTTGTCACTTATCAGAGCAATATATATCTCAGTTGTGTAGCCCATATAAGAATTGAAAATATTTAAGGTCTTTGGATTTTGTCTTCTGATTTGGTGTGGTAGGTACATGGAAAACATGATGAATTATAATTGATTCTAATTAATACTAAACGTGCAGGAAATTGGTTTCGTGTAAAATGTCCCCCGAAGAGCAGATGACATTTTGTTGCTAGAATATAATGATTGGAGAAATGGTTGAGTAATGTCGCGCGAATAACGTATTAATAAGAACAATAGGGAAGTCGCACACGGAGTCACACACGTTTCAGAAACCCACAATAGAGAAGATAGACAGCTTAGGTTCTATGTTTTTGTGCGTTTCGGTCTCGCGATGAGACGCGTCTTTAAATAGAGCCGATGACAACTAATTAAAATAACACATAAGTTTAAGAAATAACAGTCACGCAAAAACTGCGAAAGGAAAAATTGTTAAAAAGTGAAAAAATATTCATACATACATGTAAATCTACTTGAAATTATTTATTAACAGTACCAACAATGGCTAAAACAAATGCTCAGCAGTAATTAAACTATGAATCATTCTCCTTGTTTAATAAAAAGAGCATATAAAAAACATTAACCAGGCAGACTGGTGCAACACGTGAAAATATATGTCCTTCACGATATATGTAATGTAAAATATGATCCCATGTACTGTACATACATGCAAATGTATAATACATATATAATACAGGTATCCATACATACACACATACATACACATAGATACATACATACACACATAAATAAATACATACCAGCCTTATAAATTTTTGTTAACACATGCATACACACACACCACACACACACACACACACACACACACACACACACACACACACACACACACGCAGAGATACATACATACATGCATACATGCATGCGTGCATACTAAACACACATACATACAAGCACTTAAAAGCACATATACTTGGTACTTGCACATTTTATTTGAACTATTGGCATTGGTGCAAACATGAGTAAATGTTAGTTTATTTGTTTAGCACCACTCAGCACAAAAACTTAAAATTGAGAACATTTTTCAAAATAATCATCAGCACATCATCACATCATTGCACCCTTACATTTATGTATAAACTTTTTATAAGAAAACGAACATAGAGTTAAATGCTTTCAAACACTCGAGTAGATACGTTAAAATAAACAACCGAGAGAGCTTTAAAACTTGAAAGAAATCATAAAAAGCAGTTTTAATTAAGACTAGTCTTAATTCTCTTTTGAAGTTTTCAGTTTTAAAAATATTTACTCCTCCACAGCCTTAGTTGCTGCCAGGTTTTGTTTTCATCTTTGTTTATTTGGCCTTCAAAAGAAAAAAAATTGTTACATCAGAAAAAATGTTTTCATGTAGATGTTCTCTTGCAAATGTTGTGGCATGAGTTCTACTTGGTATGTAACCTAACCTTGCTATTCAAACTTTTACTACCTATCATGTTACCCTGTATTCATTTTATTATCATCCGGTATATTTTCGTGAGTAAAACGAAAAAGTGAATGTTAAAAATTAATTACATTAAAAATGGAAAGTAAATATGTTATAAATTAATTATAACGAAAAATGTAGCTGGATTTTTTGTTGGAGGACAGTTTCTAAATTTTTTCTAGAAATGTTGAGGCGGAGGGCATTTAAAGAATACATGCTTAGCATCTTCATTAACTCTTGGACAGAATGGGTATTTTGAGGAAACATCATGCCCGAAAAGATGAAGAAAGATTCAGGCCCCGAAAGCATCTGCGTCAGGTTAACCTCACCATGGTTTCGGTTTAACCAAACATTTATTTGAAGTATAAGACGGTATGTCCACCTACCAACTGTTGCAGAGTCCCATTGCATTTGCCATCGATGCATGCTGTGTTGTCTGTGCTCAGAGTAGTTGTTCTTTTCCGTTGATATAAAACCTTTATTTTTCTGGTCATGCAAACAATTACACAAATTACATCTTCGGAAACCGCAATGGTTGAGGTTTAGCTGCAGTATATATCTTCATACTTTAGTTCTTGTTCTTTTAATCTCCTGCAGACTTTACATCTGCAAGTACCAGCAACGTAAACACAATTTATCGAATAGTTTTCTTCAACAAATAAAACGCATTGGGCCTCGTTTTAACAATTTAAAATTTTGCTAACTTTTCTTCCACACCAAATGTAAAGTTTGAATCTATCTACAGAACCTTTGCATTGTGCTGCTAGGTGTCCGTAATGCCAGCATTTATAGCATTTATTTGGCTTCTTTACTGGTATGATTCTACAGTTAACGTAGCCAATTTTTATTTTGCTGTGTTCACCCCATTATCATTAGTGCGATCGGAGTTGCCAGGGTTATCGATGCAATCTATGTGCCTTGGTATGCTTTACGCAACGACTTTATAGCATCTATCGTAATATTATTGAATAGAAGAATCTCTTCCGGCCGCTTTTAGCAAAGCTGTGAGAATATCCTCTTTTGTAGTGACATCGTCTAGATCTTGCATTTCGAAATCTTTTTGGGATCCTTTGTTTATAATCATTGCCTCATCTCAAATGATGTTAGAAATAGTTTGCCACAGACCTAGGCCTCCATCAACGTTATTTTGAGAGAGAACTATTAGCAGGTCACCAGTGGTTGTCCTACGGATCTTATCCACCATGGAGCATACTGTGTGTGTGTGTATGTATGTATTGAATTGAATTTTGAATTTATATAGCGCCAATTATAATTGCTTCTCACCAACGTTCTCCTCGTAGAAATTGCTAATAGCTAAGGAATAGAATGTTGAAAGCAAAGCCATCATCTAGGATCATAATCATTAGGAGTTACCAAATAGTTATGTCTTTAGATGTTTTCTAAACTCAGCTAATGAAAACCCAGATAAACGTAATTCGATAGATAGGCTGCTCCAAAAAACAGGCCCAGCAACTGCAAAATCTCTGTCTGCTGTTTTCAGATTCCGATCTCTAACATACAGCGTGTTTGAATCAGCAGACCTTAGACGCCCATGTGATGACATAGATGAAACTCCAATACATTAATCTTCGAAATATTTTGGAGCCAAACCATTCAAACTTTTAAATACCATTACACCCAACTTGAACATGGTTCTTTGTTTAACATGCAGCCAATGCAACTCTTTTAGAGTTAGTGAAGCACAATCAAATTTTAATTTGCGGCATTTATATGTATGTATGTATGTATGTATGTATGTATGTATGTATGTATGTATGTATTATGCCTGTATGTATGCACGTACGTATGTATGTGTGTTTGTGTCTATGAATGTGTGTGTATAATTGTAATGCGTGTATGTACTATACATGTACGTACATACAAATGTATGCATGTACTCAGACAGTTCAACTTAGTCGATGCATCTGATCTCAACTCAACAAATGAAGAGCACACACTTAAGATCCAGATGGTGGTGATGATGATGATGATGCTGACTCATCCAACAGCGTTGGAAACATGCTACATTAATGCTTATCACCATACATCGTTTCTAAATTATTTTTATTTATACATTTGAGTAACGCACGCACAAACACGCACGCACGCACGCACGCACGCACGCACGTACAAATATTATATCTCCACAATCCATTATAAAAGATGGAAACAAAATAAAAACACCAAACAGGCGAACAACAGGCATGGAATGATTGATCAGCATTGTTCCTCATTTAACATCAATTAATTGTAGCAATCTCTGCTTGGAGATGCAAATAAATGCATACATTCTTTAAATTCCGTACATGCACATGTACACAAGAACAAGACTCCAACATATACATACAACAAAATGCACATTGCACATTCTTTTAATCTGGTAACTAGTACATGCTCCTACATCATGTCTACACTTTTTACATATGCATTTTTTTTATAATTTTATGACCAACTAAATCATATAACATTCTCACCACATTACATTCACTTTCGAATTGAACATTAGGTAAATGCACATCTTAATAGTAACAGAGACAAAAGACATTCAATGGGTAACAAACAAATTTATTCATCTTTTGATGATAAACTTATCGATTCACCCATGAATTTAAATTAATGCAGAATGCTTATAACGGAGACATACATAAGCATTGTATAAGCATTCGTGGCTGTCTTTAGCGTGTGCGAAGCGTGTGTGAATCTGTAAACAATCACATTACAGATTGTCTTGCTCTTGGCCGATTAACAGCATTCAAATAGGTTCGTAAATTAGCAATTTATTAAAGTTGAATAAAAACGTAGGTGGGTAAGTAGGTAGGTAGATAGAGAGGTAGGTAGGTAAACATGGAGGTGTGCAGGTAGTTGGATAGGTTGGTTGATTGATTGATTGATTGATAGGTAGGCACAAAACACCTATGTAACCATCACATTTAATTCATCAATACAATTCACCATTCATCCAATCCTAATGTCCTACCTCGAGGGGGGGGGGGGGACTGGGTCTCTGGACGCTAAACGAAGATTGATTGATTGATTGAATTTACCATTCAATTATTACTCCATTTAAATAATCATGATAATTTCCTAAACATTCTATTTGTTTATTGTACTAAATATAGAACCATAGTAGATAAGTTTTTAGATGATGGGTATTACAATCACAAAAAAATAAAATAAATCCATCATCCTATTTCAACTGAACAAAAATATGCAACATAAATCATCCTAGACCAAATTAATTTATCAGTGCAATGTAAACTTTTAAAATGAAAATGCACAATAATTAAATAATGTTCTTAATAATTAAGTTTTGTTAGCTGTTGTAAGTACTACTGACAAAAATGAAAAAATTTTGTCATATGGTTGATTGTATCACAAGGCTACAACTAATTTTATAAATCATTTGCATTGTGTAGCTGTGGCAATTGTACATCAAAACTATTATTATCCCTTAACATATGGGCATTCAATGAACTTACAAGATCTTTTTCAAGAATTTTAAAAATTTCATTAATCAGATCATTAATGATCAATTCAATATAAAATCAAAATCAAAACAAATGAAATAAAATGGAAGCCAAAAAAAAATCAGTCTAGTTTGTTGGGCCAACAGAAGAACGCACTATGTACATCAGCAGTCAACATTGAAAACGTTAAAGAACATTTTAAATAAATCTCAAAAGAAATCTTTAAAAAAAACTTAATGATAACAAATGACAAGAACATGGCGCCACGTGATTTCTGTTCTTAACTTCAAATGGCATATCAAAAGTCGTCTGATTTTAAAACAAATCCACCTGAACTAAGACATGGCCGTTGCAATTTATTTAAATAACAAATTTCTAAAAAAAATTAATTTTGTGTTAATGTTTATAATCCATTGCCAATTTATAGAAAATATGTGAGACAACAATAGTTATTCTTCATAAAATATCCCATTTTAAATTCTTCTTTTTCTGCAGTTTTACGATGTTTTATATAGAGGCCTTTGGTCTTTTTTTTGAAAAGCGGAGGGCAACGAGATGTTGTTGAAAATGTTTGTCCTTAATGTATGATATTAGGCTTACTATGTTTTCATTTAAAAAAATTGAGTGTGTACTCCTAGAATTTGGAATTTTTTCTGCTATGTTTGGCATTCTATAAATATGAGTTAGATTTATAGTTTTGCATTACATTTTCCTCAAAGTTTAAATTCATTTAAATGCATTGTAAATGCTCAAGGTGAAACGAATCAAAAAGTTTGTATAGAAAACAGAATTTTTTGTTACTTAAAAAAGTAGAAGAAATAAGAAATACAGTCAAATAAATCAACTTAATAGAACATTACAATTTCTATCTTGCCTTCACCACTCAAACTGTATCAAAGCCATCAAGATAATCGCCAAACCAATATCATGTTTTTGTTTGATATTATTTCAAGTGGCGTTTGAGGTTATAAGAATTTGTGATAAAAAAAAAAAAGATTGACAGATGCATTGATAAAATTTATTTATCTGTCTACTTATTTATTTATTTATTATATTAATTAGCAAGAATATAAACTTAGAAAATAATGAAACAGATGAAAACATCCAACTTTTTCATGTATGCAAATGAGAAACATTTTATGGGACACCTGCTACAAAAGTTCATACGAACCCAATCGGGAAAGAATAAAGTTATTGTTTGTTATAAAAAGATTAAAAGGTTGAAATTAAAATGTACAGGTACTAGCAAAATAAGAAAAGACAACACAAACAAAAACCTGGAGATCCACAACTCAGTTGGATGTGTTTAACAAGCAGTCAATAATTAAAGAGATAATTTAAATAGCTAATGATTAAATGATTTGCCCCTATTTGAAGACAGCACCCAAATCAGGATGAAGTTTAGACCATTAAAAACTGCACATTAGCAGTGTGTTTTAAAGTAGTTTATATCTAATAGATCGAATGAGTACTTTATGTGTTTATGTGTAAGTTGATGTCTCAGATAGTATTTAAAAATTGCCTTACGCCACCAACCGGCAGATGCATCATAACATGGTGAAATAAATAATTTTTAGATTTTTTCATTGATGCACTACAGTCCATAGCCAATATTATCTAATATGAACAATGCCATTTATTATCAATCAGGAATAGGTTAAAAAATTGTTTACATGAAATATTATTGACGATTATTCAGCTAGATTCACGTGAATTATAAAAAAAATTAAGCATTAAAAGATTGGATTAACTTGGAAGACAAATGAAATAAAATTGGAATGATCAATTTCATTCCATAAACGCTGTCTAACATAAATTATTCTAAAATTTGCAAATGATGTCAGACAATGATGAAGAATGATGTTGTGTGTGTGTGTGGTTAGATGAGCTGTAAACTTCAAATGATACAACCACAAACAAACATGAAAACAATTGTGCGGATTATTGTAAATATATTTAAATAAAAAACAACAGCACATGACTGGGAAATTTTCAAAACTGCATAAAAACATTCTAGTACATGTTTAAGTAAGAATCGGGAAATTAAATAAAAAGCAGTGGTTTTATAATAAATAAATAATTAGATAAACAGATGGATACACTATATAAATTTTATAAGATTACTCCTAGATTTATTCAAACCAAAATGAGAGAACAGTAAATGCCATGCAGCCATTCCAAATCATTCAATAATTTGTTCTAACATCATATATCCATATTTCATCCGTCGTTATATTTATTGTTGGAATTAACAATTTTAAAACTTTTTAAAATTGTCAATTGCTGTTTTCTATTTTATGAACTTGATTCCATAACTTGATTTCCTAGCATTAAGAACAAAAATCTACGTCCTACCTCGGGGGGAACTGAGTCTCTGGACGCTAAACGAAGATTGATTGATTGAAGAACAAAAATGTACATGAAAGTACATGAAAGCGTATGAAAAAATATAACAAAACCAAAACAAACCAGTTAGAATTGTTGACGGCATCTCCGAAACCAGGTGTGTCCACGATGGTCAGCTTCAACTGCACACCACCCTCCTTCAACAACACATTCATCTTCTCAACCTGACAATCATAGTAGCATAGGAATTATAGTATTATTCAACAATTATTGTTATTATGTATGAAACCTATTAAAGTTGTATGATAATTTATGTGAATAAGGTGCATTTATTTAAAGTGAAATTCAAGTTTCTTTTAACTTGTACTATTACGAAAATAAAATTATTGCAGTTACAACATCAAGATTATCTTATCTTTGCCACAACATCACAAGAGATTACACACTGGATGATAAATTATTATTGTTATTACTACTCAACAACTGCAAGCAGAAATGCCAGCTGACCCAGAGACAGGCAACTACTACATCACAGAGGCAGGCAACTACATCGCCACAAGTAGATCTGTCATTTATCATGCTGGTTCCATGTTCGAAATAACAAATGATTTATGCCTTTATTAACATGTAAGCTTCTCAAATATCAATGCAAAACTTCTCAAATGTCAATGAATCTTGATCAAGCGGCAGAATGAAGACTACAAAAACCATTGTGCTTGTCATATCTTTGTGGTGTTGGTGTCTGGTCTAGTCTGATTTGCGATTTGTATTAAGAGCGAATGCTTAAACAGTGATGGCAGTTTTAACTGAAGCAATGTGATTTAAACATTGAGACATCAATTCATATACAGAATTACATAAATTCATATACAGAAATACATAAATACATATACAAAATTACATAAATTCATATAAAAAGCAACATGAATTCATATACAAAATTACATAAATTCATAAACAAAATTACATAAATATATATATTTATATATACGATTACATCAATTCATATACACTATTGCATCAATTCGCATATATGATAACATCAATTCATATACACGATTACTTAAACTCATGTACACGATTACATCAATTCATGTAAACAATGACACCGATCCATATAACGCCTAATCAGATAGCATGGCACTTGCCGAAACACAAATAGCAGCACACGACCAACCTTGAGAGTTTTGTTGGGTCGTTTGGATGGTCCTGGATGTTCGTTGTTGTAAATGTCTGTCAGGAACATGGAGTTGATCAGGGTAGACTTGCCCAGGCCCGATTCACCTGTTATGTGGATGTAGTTCGGTGAAAACGATGAAATAATGATAAAAAATGATACACAATGATACACAATGGTGATACACAATGATACACATGTTATGTGGCGTTACTACGTGCTGTCAAAATAAACGAGCTCTTTCTATTTTTATTTAACAATTTAAGTTCTCACAAAAATGTTTCTTTTTTAAATAGTTTGAAAAAATTTATTATTTAGAGGATTTTTATTTAAGTAAGAAAGTTATTTTAAATGATATTGAAAAGTCTAAATTCGAGTTTTGTGTTTGTTTTGGGTGCCTCTGAGAAATACTTAAAAGAGAATTTTGACGAAAAAATAAACATTCAATCACCGACTTACCACTTTATTTTCAGTTTAATAAAAATTGCGTAGAATTGAGATTTAAAGAGCCAATAAGGAGCAGATAAGCAACATGTGGTCTGTCCGCATCAATCAAGCAAGCTTTGTTTATATAAAGCATTAATCGGTTTCACGTGTTTCATCAGTGTAGGAATAAAATTAAATTAGAATTGTTAACATTTCTCAAGATGATGCTGAACAACAAAGAGATGTAAGCCACAGGATAATAAAACATTCAACTTTTTACGCTACCAAAGACGATGAAGATGTGAACATTCACAAATATTCCTTTCTTCTTATGTAAGGATGGGTTGTTGGGTGTCTGGTCTGCGCATAATTGTATAAATAATTATCATTTTTGGAATGAAACTAACAGACATGACTATGTCACATTTAGTTGATAATAACCAACAACAATATTGACCATGTTGCTGATGGTGATGATGATTATGATGATGATAATGACGATGTTAGTGATGATGATGGTGGTGATGTTGATGACGCTGATGACGAGGTAAATCACAATGTGCAGGTAGGTAGCAGTATTAATCACTTAATAATGCATAATGCTTCAACTGACTGCATTAATTAAATTATAACTAAGCTAAGCAAGCTAATGTTATAAACATAATTATTCTGATAAATGTATTTATACAACAAACAATTATTATTATTATTATTATTATTATTATTATTATTATTATTACTCTCTACAAATTCTCAGCTGTATCATTGGGCAGCGAGATGGTGTAATGTGCAATGGTCAAGGCGCAAGGTACTACTGTTGCAGTGGCCGAGTTCAAACGCAGATATATCACACGCAAGCAACAAGTGTGATGCACGGTTTCACGCGTATTCACATGACCCGCGTGTACGTTGTTGGTCACTCTGAGAATTAATTAAAAGAGAATTTATTAATAATTTTATTACAAAAATATTTATCTACAGCCATTGTTGTTTTTACCAAAAATATGGTTTAAATTGTTGAAAAATTGCAAGATAAATAAATGCAGCACGAATATAGCCATACACACTTATTTAGTTAGTTAAGTCTCTGATAAAATCAACAACATAATGATTATTCTTAATTATTTTATTGGCCAGAAGGCAACGCATGCATAATTTGTGAAACTAAAAATTTGAGGATCACTATAAATTTGCCTCACGTCCATGCAGCTCAGCTTGTTTTTCAAATAATACAACTGTATTAAAGGCAAGAGATAGTTAGGATTGCTTGCGTGGGTAAAATTTGAGACACGCTGTTTGAGGTAGGATGCATGTACAGTGCTACCAGTAAAAAGTAGCTTCATGTACATAGTAACATGCACCCACCAACATTAAGTAGGTACTGTTTGCTTCGACAACATTTTGAAAGTTTGTTTAGCGTTTCCTTTATTTTGGGTATTTTGTTAATTGCTGTTATCTGCAGTATGACAAAATGTATGTGCGTGCGCGTGTATCAGCACGTGCGCTAACAATTATAATCATTATAATTTAAACATTCAAATGCAGATATAAGTGAAATTAAATATAAATTAAAAGTGAATTTTTACTAAATGAATCCACAACAGTGATTTGCATGAAAACCACAAGGAAAAGGATGGAGAAGGAATGAATAACAAGCGCATAATGTTGCAAAACTAAATAACAATGTAATGTTATATCGTAACAATAGGTAACGTTACATCAGTCTAAGGCATTATGTTAATGAAGCAACAACAGCAGGATAGTGTTTATGTAATTAGTTGGTTGCCTGCACCATGCTCTTGCTAATTAAATACAGGAGTTACAGAAATTACAGAAATCTAATTTAACAATTGAATTTGAAATTTACTAGCAGCCATGAAAATGGGTTTTTGTTTCAACTGAATTTACTTAATGGCGTTTATTTCTATTAATCCAATCGATTGTCATCATCAACATCAACAACAAACCAGATGACAGACACACTGCAGGCAGAACAACACCGTTTCATAAAACATCTCCCCAGTTCATGATCCTCCGATCTTTCTAATAGCTTCTCATTACATCTTTTACCTTCTACCTTCATCATTTTACATTTTTCTTCTTCATGTAAAAACTCTCACACAAACCTCTGCCCTCACTAACCCTAGCCCTGACCTCATTTCGAAAGTTTAGAAGAGCATCTGCATCAAGATCTTTTACAACCTCCAGCAATTTCAAACGTTTGCCCTGCATCCAGGTCCTTCTCAACCTCCAACTATTTCAAAGTTTGCCCACAGTTTTGATTTTGCATTACAGCAAACAACCAAGCTTGTGATGATTAGCAGATTATTCCTTGCCACACCAATGATGACAATTCATTCTGCAGTCACACCTCATGTCCATGAATATTTTTGATGCAATAAATTACTAGAAGCAGGAATGTTCCAAGTTAGGATGACAAACTTTTCAATGAATAACAAAATGAAAAATTTTAAAACGCCTAAAAAAATAGAAACAAATGAACTGACCGACAAGCATGAGTGTGAATTCGAAGCCCTTCTTCACAGACTTCCTGTAGACTTGGTTTGGTAGGTTGGCAAACCCCACGTACGTATCCGGCTCCTTCTGCAATCGAAGTTTGCTCGATGACGAAATTTGATTGGCAGACGGAGGGATGAATGATGTTGTGCTCGGTGCTGTGCCATTGCTTGTGATCGAGGAGCTTGCTGTTGTTTTTTGGGCACCGTTCGGCAGATCATGATGATTTGTTGCTGTTGGGGGTGGCAGGTCTGAATCTCTCACAGAGAGACCTTCATACTTCTTTGTGAGTCCCAGGGGCTCCGACTTCAAAAACGCTTCTCTCGCTTCTTTCCTTGACTGTTCAAGAAATGAACTTTTAATGTCATCTTTATTAATAAAAAGAATAAATTGTTAATAAGCATGTTAAAAATATTTATATTTAATAAAAGTAGCGAACATTCAAATGAAATAATATTTATTTTGAACAACTGGTATAAAAGCAAGTTTCAAAGAGTTTCAAATGAAAAACGAACGACAAAATGAAAACAGATGACACAACAGAAAAAATAGGATATGATTCTGAAGATAATGATGAAAATAAAAAGACTGCATAAACAAATCACAGCATAAACACCATAATGGAAAAAGTTTTGTGGTCTTATATACACAAACATGCGCATGTACCTAGTCATTTAAACATGTATATCTATGTGTATTATTATTATTATTATTATTACTAATATTATTATTATTAGAGAACTTTTATAGCGCCCTTTAATATTACTCAAAAGCGCTTTTTAAGCTTAGTGGAATTGATGGATGAAGAAAAACGTTTAGTTCCCTGCGAAACTGTTCAACAGTCAATCCTGGTTGACGCAGACTGTCAGACTATCCAGCGAGCTGTTGGACCTGTGACTGCAAAACCCCAAATAACCACCACCACCAATTTCTCCGGTATATATATATATATATAGAGAGAGAGAGAGAGAGAGAGAAAAAGAGAGAAAGAGTGAGAAAGAAAAACATCAACAAAATCAGAATAAAAAAAAGGCCAAAAAGAAGCAGAGCTCCATAACATCTACATACATACGCACCATCCACCGTCCACCATCACGATATTTTATTTATAATAGACTCATCTTGTTTTAATTTTTATTTCGAAAACTTACGATAAATTTTTAAACAACCAACCAACCAATAAACCACGTTTCCATTATGAAAGGTTAACGATTCATAAGCATTCGTTTAATAGGCCAACATTATTTTTACTGCCTTTTTATCACCAGAACAATACGTGATACTTGGGTCATAAAAAATGAACAAAAACATTTTACCAGAAGGGAAAAATAATTCCTCAAAAGCATAAAGCTAACTATAGTTAATAATAACTATAACTTACACGAGACTGTTTAAACCAGTTACCATAAATGAAGAAAAAAAAGAAGTCATAATTAAAAGTTCAAAGTCTCAAAAAGATAAAATATTGTCGGCTTACAAGTCACAGACTTCTTTCAACAAAAAAATTCTGACAAGATGATGACAGTGATGTTGATGATGACACAGATGGTGTTGATGGTGATGATGACAGTGATGTTTATGGTGATGACACAGATGATGCCGACAATGATGAAAATGATGATGTTGATGGTGATAATGAGGGTTATGTTGATATGAAGATGGAGTCTATGATAATGTTTATGATAATGTTAATGTAACAAAATATTAACACAATACTGATGACCAATGTGGTGATATAATTTTCATATGTAGATGAGCTGACATCAAGTATGTTGATGTTGCTGGTGATAATGATGATAGTGATGAAGAAGACTTTCATGAAGAAGAAAAAGAAGACGATGATGATTGATGTGTGAACACGTGGATGATTTTGAGGATGAAAAAGGTTAATGGAATGCCATAACACGCACACTCACACGCACACACACACAAACAAACAAACACACACAGCAGCTTATATAATTGCATGCAGTTAATTAAATAACAATTATGAGATGGTGTAGCTGAAATTTTTAGTCATGTGTTCCAACTGATAGAACTATGAAAAGTTAGGAATATTTTATAACTGCGTCTAAATAAGCTTACTGCAAACACTAATGGTAAACATTTGAAAGTATTATTTATTCATTTATTTATTTATTAAACATCAAACTCACAAATTCATGCAAAAATGTCTTTATTTATTTCTATATTTATTTACTTTCTTATTTATTTATTTATTTATTTATTACAATCTCTGTTATTACAATCACTTTACCATTAAACCACCGTGCTGCCCACTATCAGCATTGAAGAAACATTATCAAAAATTAAGTTAAATCATTAGACAATTTCGTATATGTGTGAAATGAAACCCCAAAACAATTGTATTGATATATAGTCCTAGCATGAAGATTAAATATAAAAAGTTCGTTTAAGCTGTTAAAACTGTCAACGCCAATAAAAATTTAGAAAAAATGCATCCAAATAATTTGTAACAACAACAACAACAACACACGTTTAGACAGCATTTTCCCCGAGATCGGGGGTTGCCGTTTGGCTACCTATGATGAAACCGAAATACCCCTCGACGCCATCCACATCTGTCACTCGCCTCAGTATCACGCAACTCCGCTTTCACCCTGTCCTTCTCCACCTGCTCTCTCCATCCCAATCGCGGACGACCCCTTCCTACCACTCCTTCAACCTCGAACTCCAAAGCTCGCCTAATCCCGACCCTTTCATCCCTTCTCAACACATGTCCATACCACCGCAATCTCGATCTCCTTATCAATGTCACAATGTCCTCATTCAGTCCCATCATTGACATCAGCTCTGTACTACTCCTCCTATCCTTCACTTTAACCCCACACAAACGTTAGAATGTTTGTGTGTCTGTGTGTGTTTGTGCGTGCGTGTATATATATATATATATATATATATAACAAATGTTGAATTACGATATATAATTTGTAATAAACAAAAATTAACAGTGGAAAAAGTTTAATTTTTGAAAAAATTGAACCCAGCTGAATTAAAAAAACATAATTAATAATAAATAAAAATGAAACTAATAAGTAATAAATTGGTGAATCACAAACACACAACGCACACACACACACTCGCACGCGCACACACGCAAAGAGTATTTATTTACTTTTAAATATCCGTTCATGAATAAATTTGTTGTTTATTCTTAATTTTTTTCAAATAACAAATAGTACAAGATATTTAATGGTTCTGCCATCAGCTGACAATAGAAATAATAGTAAAAATTTATGTGTTGCTAACATGTATGTGATTGTATTGATGTATGTGCGTGTTTGTGTGTGCGTGTATATATATATATATATATATATATATATATATAACAAATGTTGAATTACGATATATGATATATATATATATATATATATTTATCTGTGTGTGTGTGTGTGCGTGTACACGTGTTTCGATGTAAAACATTCATCCAATGATTGCCTTTTTGTTTGCAGTATGTGTAGTGTACATAAACCGTTGCGTTGATGGTCAGAATAATAAACATAACCATAAATATAATCACACAAACAATAACAATGGAGTTATGATTCCACACTAATTTAATAAAATTTCTAGAACTGTTTCAGTAATATAAAACTGATAATAATATAAATAAAACATTAAACATGTAATTAAAAATCAGCTTTGAAAAGGTAACGAAATAATTTAGGGATAATATGTCTCAAGTGTTTAGAACTTGGATTTTGAGCCTGGTCATAATTTGCGAATGCATCACTCAATCAGTCAGCGTTGGATGGGATGTGATGAAGATGACCTATGTTGGCAATGTGAGAATTAAGTATATATGTTACTTATTTCGTTTTTACTTCGTTTTCGTTTCGTTTTTGTATTACTTACCACCATTACATCGGGTGGGGGGAAAGAAACAGATAAAAATAAGATTAAAAAACATGTGAATAAAATATTTCATTTAGTGGCAATAGCCAGATGAAAATTGCTTTAATAATAATATTGTGAGCTGCAAAATGAAAAACTGGAAACCCGATTAAACGTAAATTTATGATGCCTGGAAAATATGAATAAAACCAATTCATTGTATAAAAATATTAGTTTAATGGGAAAACTGTAGCACAATAGCAAGTGAAAAATTAGTTGTTATAAGAACTTCATTTGAAAAAAACCATGAAAGTGAATGGAATATAAGCAATAAGGGTAGAAAGAAGAATTTCCATCTCAATATGCATACTTCATATTAATACTTATATTCAATAATATATTATATTATCAATGAAATGAATTGAAGAAAAATGATAATAAAACATCTCGTTAACTTGGCAAACTATATTTGACCCATTATATATGTTCATAATTGCAACAGAACTAACGGCGACAGTCTTGTCGATGGGGGCACTGTCAGTGGTCAGGGATGAGGAACTGTCGGATCTGTGATCGGACAACTCGCTGTTGGCATGCACTGATGTGTTGCTCGGAGTGGGACTCAGTGCAGTTCTATCCTGATTGTACAGACTCCTGAAGGATTTTTTTGGCACTGGCAGTCTGTTCTTACCTCCACTGGAACTTGAGATGTACGACTGGATCTCATTACTCATTATTTTTAATGTGTTGTGTTATTTATTGGCTCCAAGTTGTTTGATGCCTATTAAATTCTATATATAAATTACTACAGAATGATTTCTGTGCAGTATGTAATCCTATCCTTTCTTAAGATATCTTAAATCTTTTAATAATAATATAATAATTTTACATCAAAGGATGGTTATTCAGCAGAATTGTAAGACCATTAATAATCCGAAATGGCAACATAAAATATAACAAGCAATGACAAATTTACTTAATATTTTTTTGCGAAAATTTGAATGAATAGAAATAAGTAAATATCAAATTAAATTACATTAATTAATTGAATATACAATGTTTGTAACTGCATTTAAATTTGAAATTCAACAACAGCGGATAACAAGCTGGATGGGAAACAACGGAACAAGACTACAACAACCTAATGATGAGTAAGGAGAAGAATATGAATGAATAAATGAACCAACCAATGAATGCATAGGGCTATTCACATCTCACATTCAACTCATCATATATGCTTATGTTATACATCAAAATAAAGGCTTCATATATGCACATTGAAAGAGTATACATTTATATTTATATACATATACATGTATGCGTAACTATGTTTATATACATACATACATATCTACATGCAAACACCAAACATCTACTGCATGCATATCAGACACGTTTGTTTACAGGACCTAGTGTAATAAATGTTTAATAAATAAATAAAGTTATAGCCAAAGTAAAAGCACGTGTGTGTGTGTGTGTGTGTGTGTGTGTGTGTGTGTGTGTGTGTGTCTGTGTGAGTGTTGTTTGTCT